TTGATCCTTTGAACATTTATATCTCGGGTGAACAGTAACTGATTTGGATGAACGGTAACCATTATCCTTTTTTAATATATAAAACTGCAACAAATTAATAATAAGCAAATAAATTCTCTAAAAAAAAAATAATTGCATATAAATTCTCTGTAATGTGGTTTAAAAAATAAGAATATTCAACAAAATATGCTCTCTTATTTTAACCACGCAGTTTACAAGAAACAGTTTTGAAATTGTGGAAACTAGATTTATAATATGAGAGCATGTTGTACTAGACTGGTTTTCAAGTTGATGCTTTCCCTGATTTCTTTCTCAATGAAGAGGGTAAATCATCATCGTCTCAGAGACAGGGAATTTTTTTTTTTAAGGATTCAAAATCAGAATACAAAACTTAAAGCAGGAAATAAGCTCAAAGATATCATCAAATGAATTCTTTCACCACAGAAAGGTATAACTCATGCAAGAAAATTCAACATAGAATAAATAATTAAATAAGCAACAAATAAGTAAAGTAATTAGCAGTTTTATAAACAGTAATATAGAATTTTCTGATGAACAGTAATCCCGAACTAATTCTTAATAACTATCTTATCAATCTTCTAGATTGTTGGAAATTTATCAAATAATTAAGATTATAGCATGCAGATAAATCCGAAAAATTAAACAATTAAAACTGGCCTGAACGGGAGCAGTCGTGTATTCACTGCCCTAGAAGATTGAGAACCCGCCTATCGCCCTGGCGCAGATGGTTCCCTCCCCTAGCGGTAAAAACCCCCGGAAACGGCCGGCCTCTACACTCGGGCGAGAGTGCAGAGCTTCAGCTCAGATGAAGGAAGTTGCCCATAAAATAAAACTAAGATGTAGATGAAAATAATATGTAGGGGAGAGAAGAAAAACAAGAGAAACTTGTTGTATATTTTTCCTTATCATTTTAAGCTCAACATACATATATATATAGGGTTGGAAAAGACGTTACAAAACCCGTAATTAATTCCGTAACGTTCGTCATAAATTTTGTAACGTTCCCCATAATTATATAGCCGTTACACATATAAATAATTGCTAATTAAGACATGGTTTAATTATAAAAAACTTATTACTATTCATGAAGGCAAAATTGTCTTTTCTTAACAAAATATCTAACATTTGGTACGGTTGGTACATGAATTGGTTGGAATGGAATTGTGTACCATTGTCAGCCCTAATTAATCTATTAAATTTTTTATTGTAGACGCACAAAATGTTTACATTTGGTACATACGCGTAGTTTAAGAAAGAAAACAGACAAATTAATGCTTTAAGAAGGAACTTGTGAGTTCAGTATTACTTTTAAAGAAGATTTGATTATTTTGTAAAAGAAAAAAAAGGACTTGTGAGGTTTGTCTTTCTTTTTACACATTCTTCTTGGCGGTTTGGTAAATTCTTTGTAGAGGATACTCGGTGGGCAATAGAGTTAGCCTAGCTGGAGGTTGACCAACAAAAACAAAGGGATTGTTTGGTTGTTAGCAATCTGAGCTGCAATATTGATGTCGCACGGAAATTTCTATTTCTAGCTTTTTAGTTAAGTTAGCAATAATAAGGCAACAAGACTGATTTTTAAGTTCTATTTTGTAATAAAACTCGTACTGTTTGTTGAAGTCTATTATTTGGATGCAAATCCAACGGCTTTTGCAACAAACCGAGCGCAAGATGGATTTGATAATACATTTTTGACAACAAAACGCAGAGTGCTAATTTATAGATTAGATTTTAAATTCCTGTAACAAATGATGCATCTAGCATTTCTGAATGAAATATTAAATGTGTTTACACTTGCAGCATACCATACATTCAAATGTCCCTTAAGATTTGGCATAATGGTAAAACTTACTCTCGCTGAACATGGTGAAAATTACAAGAGTTAGTTAATGAGATATCTTTGTATCATTGTCTCAACTTACTGGATTTAGGTCTTCTCCAATTATGCAGTAATTGAAGCAGATCCAATTCTCTCAATCTGATCGTCTATTTCAGTTTAGAGGGATATGATTAAACCAAGTAGGATTTCGCAAGTGTGGTTTTCAAAATAGTGATTTTGTCACTATTGTCATGGAAACCACCACTTTAAAAACCATTCTCGCAATAATGAAAATTCTACACAGTATAATCTCTTCCCTCTAAATTGAAATGAACGATCAGTATGGAAAGAATTGGATCCTCTCCAATTAGCGGTTACTTAGAGAAGATATGTATCCCAACTTATTACAGTCGAGCCACACATCATACTCAACAAGTGCCTAATCTGTATTGGTCAATAGATATCTTTTGCCATTATATGTCTAGAATCTTCCTTTAACTTAGAAAATTAAGATTTGGGTATTAATTTAGCCTATAGCTTCTCTTCTCCAATTGATTACCAATGAAATATTATGTAATTCAGTTCCATAAAAATCTCTCTCACGTCCATGTTTTAAAGAATAAGGTGGTTGAGAGCTCTTCCACATCCAAATTCATAATTTTACTGGAACATTTATTGGATAAAAATGCTATTGTAGGAAATACAAAAAAAGAAAAGCAACAAAATTTATGATTGGATAGATTTTCTAACTAACCACTGTCTTGATTTTTATCCTGTGACAAATTAAGCTTTCTTTCTTAATTCATTCAAAGCAGAATTTAAGCTATAAAGTCTCTTATTTTTATTCCTTTAGGCCCCGTTTGGCAAAGGGTTAATGAAGAAGGGTTAAAGAGAAGGATTAATGTACTTAGCCCATTTGATAATCCGAATGACTAAATTATTAACCAGTTAAATAAGTTTTATTTTAGCCCTTATGATCAGTTTTAGTGTTTGGGAATAACAATGATTTTGACTATTTTCTTTATAATTAGAAGGGTTAACTCTTATTCTATCTAAATAGGAGTATTAGTAAACCCCTCATTTTGAGGGGTTAACTCATTTTAACCCCTCTAGAGGGGTTAACTTAACTCTTCTATATTTTTTATGTTTGGCAAATTATGGAGGGTTAACTCACTTTAACCCTTATATAGATTTGTTGTGTTTGGCAGGTTAAGAAGGGGTTAAGTCTCCTTAACCCCTCACTTAACCCTTTGCCAAACGGTACCTTAAAGATAAACAATTTAAGCTACCGTTATTATTTTCTATTCTCCTTTCAACCCTCTTCTATTTATACCTTGTGTTTGGAATCTTTTTATAATTTCCATGGGAATATTCTATCTTTTATTTCTTTTATTTGTAAATAATTTTGCAAACAATCTAATTTTTATATTTTTATTTCTTTTATATTTACCACGGGAATCTAATTTGCAAAACGTCGTGCAAGCCAGAGAGAATAAATGAAATAGCGAAGTGGTAAGAAAAACAAATTTTGGGAGAAATTTGGAGAGACAAAAGTCACAAAACTACTCTTCCTTTTTTTCAGCCCTCATTCAATTTTTTACTAATTTAATAATTCAAAATTTCTATTATGGGTGCACCAAAGACAAGCTCCTTAATTTAAGGGTTAATTGCGAATAGACCTTCTGTAGTATCGCCTAATTTTAAATAAATCCAATATAGTTGTATTTGTCGTGAATAGACCTCCTATAGTATTGGCCCATTGCGAATAATCCCTTCTAATGAACTTTCTCAACTCTTTAAAAAAAGCAATATATCCTCGCCAATAGAACTATAGGGGGTCTATCCGCATCCTCAAAACATTTTTAATGATTTCAAGAGTCAAGAAATTTTACTTAGGGGGTACATCCATAAAAATATAATTACATGGGCCTATTAGCAATTAGGTGATACGAAGGGGGTCTGTTCGCAATTAACCCCTAATAGCTGATTATACTTGATGTATCCAAGAAATATTCTTGATCAGGACTTGTATACTCTGTTCAAGATGAAACAATCTGACTTCGCAACTTGCATGTGTCACTTATCTTCATGGATAAAGTTTATCTGTTGGCTCACATTGTAACTTTTTAATAACAAAATTTCCCCAAGGACCCAAAACATGGGACCAATAGAGAGGACATATGAGATGTCCCCCTCCTATGACATAATGAGTTGATCATCATTAATAATGGTCAGCTCATTATGCAATAGGAGGGGAACACCGTATCTGTCTCCTCTGTTGGTCCTATATTTTTGATCCCTTAAATTGCATTCATGCATGTCCAGCCACTAAATAAGAAATTTAATATAGCTCGATATAAATTTAACAATCTTAAGCACAGGACATTTATAACGCGCTTTTAGACTCCTGGACAACATATTTGGACATTTACAGTTGTTTCTTTGACTGACAAAAAGTAACGAACGAAAACTTTGATGCGAATGTTTTTGGACGCTTTGACCTCTAAACGGCGTGACATAAATCAGGATTAGTTAATTATAGTTGACGTTAGAGCTATATTTGATGAATTCTTTGCCAGTTGTTAGGAGAGAATCCTCCATCCGTACAAAGTTTATATAATTGTTTAGAGCAATTGAACTCAGTTGAGCTATAGATTACCGTTTCTAGGATGCAAAATGATAGGGGCACACCCCCAATCATAATCACAACCATACCCGCTCTCTCATTTGCTACAGCACTCGGCTTCTATATGGGATTTTAAAATTTTAAAATCCCATATGAGGCCCGGTATACCGTAACAAATGAGAGAGGGGGTGTGGTTGTGGTTATGATTAGGGGTGTGTCCCTAGTACCACCCTTCTAGGATCTGAGATGTAAATGCATTTTAGATATTAAAATCAACACCTTTCAGATATTATCAGATATTAAAACGACGTTTGTACACAGGCTCAAACTTACATTCCCGAAAAGGGAAAAACATAAGTCCACAGAAGAATAAATTTAATACACCAAACATAAGAATGACCACCTTAACTGCATCCACACATGCCACGTATTCTTATTTTAAGATCCGAGCAAATTAATAATGCCATTAAACTAAGGCAGATATCCTTATCCCTGACCTTATCAAAACTCATCGTATAAATAAATAAGCGCATTAAATGATCAAAAGGGTATATTAATGTTTCAATACACAATCACGTGCATTTCACGTGCTACAATTTGCTACAATAAATGACACGTAAAATTAAAAATTAGAATACACCAAGCCACTCCCCCTTTTGTAAAAATATTAAAGGGTCATAACTCTAGAGATAGAGAGAAGAGAGAGAAAGAAAATTTCTATACAGAACCCTCTAATGGAAAAAAAAAAACACATGTAAAAGAAAGAAGAACATGATGCGCTGAAGATCAACGCGAGTTTTAAAGTCTGCGATTGTATCAATGCAATATTTTGATCGCACTGATACAATGTGACTATGGTTGATATAAAAACTTATATTATCCTCTCCTTCCTCCTCTTTAGATTATGATTTTCCCAAAGCATCCTATATGTGGGATTTTTTTTCTCCCCCACCCCCCCAAGAAAATTCAAGCTCAAAGAAGAGGGTCCCACAAAGACCCCTGCTCAAACACCTCCACGTCACTAACCTCACAGCTCAAAATCTGAGGTGGAGCAATCAACATGGCCTCCGCGAGCTCCCTCCACATTTCAGGCGAATCCAAATCCAATCCCCACTCATCCCCGGAAAACCCGAAACCCGCATCGAAACCCGAACCCGAACCCAACCCAGACCCGGCCCGCTTCAAACTCGGCTTCACCGACGTTTTCTCCTTATTCCGGAACTTGACCTCCAACGCGGCCTCCAGCGCCGCCGACCGAATGTGGGTCGGTCCGAGCTCAACGGCGTCGGCAGCCGACCGTCGACTCGGGGAAGTTGAGGCGGGGCGTCTTGGCCTTTGAGCCAAAATGCTGCCACCGTCGTGCGCCGCCGCCGCCATCTCGGCGGTCTCGAAACTTCCGAGCAGATTCGGGTTTTCTTACCGGGCTCTCGGATCTCGGAAACCCACTTCCCCCACTTCCGTTTCCGGACTCCGATGTAAGCGGGTGAAGCGATGGGCTTCATTTTTTTTTATTTAATTAATATTTGTTGAAGACGAGGATATAGAGATTTTTATGAAGAGTACTGAGGTTGAGCTGCTACAAAAAGGATGCAAGTGGACGAGGTTTATATAGGGGGATGCTGAAGTGGTTGGAGAGGGGAAGCGTGAGTTTCCGAGTAGCTACGTTAACTAGATTTCACTTTCATGCAATGATTAATGTGATATATAACTATATATCTCATCTACTGCCCGAGACTCAAAAGGAAAAATAATAATAAAGTTACTGTTTATACTACAGTAATAAATGTTTTTTTTTTTTATGATATTATTTTAGCTTAGAACGCGCTATTTTGAATCTTCAAATACTGCTTATGTCACGGTATATTTTGAATGCCAGAACACTGTTCATGCTACGTTATATGCAATGGTAAAATTTTTCCCTTCGTAGAGTGTACTGAGCTAAAGTAAGATTTTTTTAACCTTAAAAATCCTGTTCATATTTACTATTTTTTTTAAAACATTTTTTACGGTGACGATTTGAAGATTTCACAGATATTTTACGAGTATAATTTTTTTTTCTGGTTCTATTTAAAATTAATAAAAATTTACTAATTGATATGTTATTTTGTTAATTTGTTTAGAGATTCACTCTGTAAATAGTAAAAAAAAATTATCGCTGTAATTTTTATAGATAGTTATATATAAAAATCATATTAGCAATTTGACTGTGGCTATAACTCGATAAATAATACCCTCAGCAAACGCGCAGACTTAATATTAGTTTATTTAGTGTGAAGATCCTATTAATGGGCCCGTTTGATTGCTGAAAAGAGTTGTTGAAATGGACAAAAAGCCTGCCAAAATTGACAAAAACTGTCAGTTTTAGCAGGCTTTCTTGTAAAAACGCCCCAAAAAATAACGTTTTTGCAAGAAAGCCTGTCAAAACTGACAGTTTTTGTCAGTTTTGGCAGGCTTTCCCAAGCCCTCTTCAGCAACCAAACGGACCCTTAGCAGCTTGATGACGTGGCTGGTGTTTAATAAGGGCTTGTTTGGCTATTTCTACAAAAAATTCGGAAATGAAAATATAGCTCTTGAAATGAATTCAAGACATTTCAAGACATTTTCTAGTTTTCATTTCTTTTGTTTGTTTCGCAAAGAAAATGTTCCTTTTCACTGCCAAATCACACAAACAGACAAAAAAAGCCTCCATAGTAACAGTGCTTTGATTTCTATTTTTTGTGTTTGTTTGAGAACAAGAAAAAGAAAATGAGAAATGTGGCATTTAAATATTTCATTTTACTCTTCATGACTATTCAAACAGTGTTTTTACTAATTAATAATTCTGAGATGGGACATTTCCAAGTGTTTTCAGCCCAAATTGGTGTGAAAACACATTTCTTGAAAAATTGAGGTGGCAACACATGTGGCACATCATTTCTTGAAAATTAAAGACGAAACAAACACTTAAAATGGAAACCTATTGAAAACAAAAACTCATGTGACACATGAGAGTTTTCTTGAAAGGTGAGGTGGCAACGCATTTTCGTTTTTTTGGAGCAAACAAACAGACCCTAAAGGAAAGGTTAAAGAGCGCAGAGGTGATACTGTCTTGTACTGCAATGCAAGGCACAGGACGTGGTGGACTTCCTTGGGAAGCGCGACGAGGGAAATCATGAACTCACCTATTTTGTTCGTAGCCCAAGAACAGTACAACTCTTATAGCTTAGTTAACATTATCCTACGTATAATAATACTGGTTGAGAACGAACATTGCATTTCTATATTGATTTATGTATAGAATAATCACACCGATTTGATAGTCACTTTGTATTTATATTCATTTTAACCGTACTGATTTTATTGATTCTTTATTAGTTAGAAATATTCTAAACAACTGTTTTTTTTTTTTAATCGAAGACTCGCTTAGAGCTTTTTGATGACGTAGCTAGCGTTCGTGGAAGTTTAAAGAGTCTCCTAATTACATTGACCAACGTTTTAGTTGGGCAACGAGAGTGAGCAGGAGACAGCTGGATAAAAAGAGCGAAGATCATGAGGTAGTACCGAGACGATGAGAGCTGGCTTGCATAATTGCGTTACTCTCTTTGATTTGATGAGTTTTGTTGAAAACGGATTGAACGTCGTGTGGGTCCCCTGAGTACAGGGGTGGCACGTGTCAAATCATCCGTAGCACGGAAAGGGATACGTCCGTACTTAACAGGATGGAGTACGGTGAACGTGGCCAGTGTACAGCTAGGGTGGTGCACCTGGACTTAAAATAGTGTGTCGGGTTGAGTTGATTTCTGTGGACCTCGGTACACTGTACACCGTTGTAGGCCATAAGTAGAACTCTGGTATATATGAATTAGGGTTGATTGAAATCTATTCCTATGTAATAACAGGAGTATTCAAGATTTATTATTCGTACTATGGTAAATGTTACAGTAGCATTGTTAATGTAGCACAGTCAGGAGGATCCAATATTTACTATTCATGCTACAACAAAGTACTGTAGCACAAACAGGAAAACTGTAGCGTTCAAAACATTATTGTAGCTCAGGCGAGGGATACTGTAGCATTTAAAAAAAATGTTATTGTAGTACTTACAAAATCTGTAGTTGAATACAGAATTACTGTAACGAAAATAAAAAAATGAAGGTCGTGCTTTGCACGGGGTGCACACTAGTTTATTTTTAAGTTTAGATTCATCCCAATTTTTTATATATAAATCTTGAGTAGCATTATTATCCAATTGTTACTTTTTTTTGTTGAGTTTAAAAAGATTTATATTAGGTTATTATTGTCGGGTGGATTGCAGAGTGACTATCACTGCATAGAAAGATCAACTCATAAGATACTAGCAAGATAGTGTTGTATATAGGAACAAGAAGACAATCTTTTAAGAATTTACTTTGAGTTATTAAATGAAACATCAAAAATTGCACTTTGTGGTATATGAATTAGGGTTGATTGAAATTTATAATTAAGTTCAGATTCATCCTAATTTTTTTATATTTAAATCTTGAGTAGGATTATTATCCAATTGTTACTTTTATATTGACATTTGTATTAGGATTTAGTCTGTTTAATTATTATCGGGTGGATTGTAGAGGGACCATCACTGAAGAGAAGAATCATTTCATAAGATAATGTCAAGATAATGGTGTATATAGGAAAAGAAGACAATCTTTTAAGAATTGACTACGAGTTATTAAATGAAACATCGAAAATTAGCCGCGAAAGGTGGTTAAATTAAAAGTTGTTTGCCTTTTGAGGTAGCTTGTTGAAGAGATACTCTAAGAGCAACTCCAATGGGGCTGCAAAACTCCTTTTTGCAGCCCCATGGAGCTCCAACCGGACTCCAATTTTTGGAGTCCGGCTGCAAAAACCCTCACTCGGCTGCATATTTGGAGTTTTTGCTCCAAATATGCAGCCCCCCTCCAAACCACTATTCCCCCTAAAAATTTACAATAATACTCTTCTAACTAACTAATTATTTTTAGATATTCAACTTAAAATCCCCGCTCATCTCAGGGATCAGATTCAAGTTCTCCTGTCGTCGACTTAAATGACGATAATGAGGAATATACTCATAATGACGAAGATATGATAACAAGTCGACCGACAGGAAGGAAGAAAGAGAAGATGAGGAGGCGACAAGCAACTGAATCCAACCTCGACTTGGAAACTCTCAATAAAAGCAATTAAGAAATTGTCGATATTTAAAAAAAAAGTCATGGAGAACGAGAAAATGATAGAATAACAATGCACCAGATTATGATGTTAAGGGCCGAAAACGAAAAGAAAAAATTAGATATTCAAAGGGAACGCCAGGAAAGTAAGATTATGTTGATTAATCTTGATACTATTACTGATCCTTCGGAACGCGAGTATTTTCGAATTAAAAAACAAGAGATTTTAAATAGAAACACAACCGGAGGTTCTTCATCTGATATTCCTAATCCTGAATATAGTTATGCAGGAAGTCAATACGGAATACCTGACTACAGAAGCGGTGGATATGGAGGAAATGGCCTGCCCGATTTTTAGTTTTTTTCATGTACTTTATTTTCATGTACTTTCTTTTTCTATGTAATGCCGCTGAATGTAATATATAAAATTTCATCATTCGGAGTAGCTGTGAAGGTTGTTCCAAATATTATGCTATATTTTCTGCTTTTTAAAATTTAAAGGCTCTTATCTATGTCTTATTATCAATTTATTAAAGATAATTACTTTTATTTAAATAATGAGTATATTATATATTATACTTTTAGTATTAAATTATAATATATTTTATATTTTAAATTAATTCATATAATTTTTTAACATTTTATATTTTTTATATTTTCAAATCTATTTAAAGTATTATAAAAGAAATCAATTAAAAATGCAAATAGAGCTTCATATAGAGGAGGTGGTTGGAGTTACCCTCCTCTAAAAAAGCATATGCCTAAGAATATGCTTTGGGGAGCCTAACCACCAACTTTTTCCATTCCGCTCGACTCCTCAGAACTGTAAGAGTTAGTGTACAAAATCCCCCTAATTACCATTAAACTTCACATGAATTTCTCATTTAATTAGCATCATCGATCCTAACATGTCATGTGACAAGCATATGCCTAGAAAAAGATGAAAAAATAAGTTAGTCAAAAAAGTTACCTACTAATATTCATTTTAAATAAAAGGGAGGAATTTTCGTATTTCTTTTTGGAATACGTGTGACATGTTAAAAGTTGACGGTGTTAATAAAATTATAAAATGAGAAAATGAGAAAATGAGAAAAAAATTTAGTGGAATAAAAACTTCAAGGGAATTATGTGCTAAATGTTTGCGTCGGAAATCGATTTTATTGCGGAATACATTACAATCATTTATCGATTTACAAGATTCGAAAGAATGAGCCTTTTTATAAAACTTCTCTACACAAAAGAAATAAACAAAAATCTCCTAGAAACACACGCATGATCGTTTATCATCGCTGCTTGCGTGAGATCTTTATCTGAACTGGGTACTCTTTGATCCGTAAACCGCCGAGTATCAGATCCGGTTGATCTCGTTTCGTAGTAGAAACAAGAATCGAAGTAAATTCTCAACGTTGTGAGATAAGTACTCTTCTCAAGATCACAACAACAATATGATCTTAAGAAAACTGATGCAGAGGCTGTAGATCTATCGAACTCATCCTTTTTATGCTGAAGAACTCGTCAAG